TACTGTTTGCTGATGACATCTCCATTCTCTTCAAAAGTCCTTCAAATAATCTAGAATACAACACCCAAATTATTGACACATATAACCTCATAAAATCCTGGCTCTTGAATCACAACCTTGAAGTTAATAATAAGAAAACAAAAATCATACAATTCAAACCATACCAAAAACAAAAAATTAACCTTAAGAATATATCTAATACTCTTAAAATAGAAGAAGTTGAAGAATTTAAACTATTGGGTATAACACTAGACTGCCACTTAAATTGGAAAAGACATGTAGACATTACTAAAATAAAGCTATCTCAATTTTCATATGGGTTGAATGTGTTAAAAACTAACACCAACACACAGTGTGCTCTATCTGCGTACTATGCATATGCATATGCGTGGTTACGCTACGGGATTATTATGTGGGGACACAGTGTAGATGCCAAAGATCTATTCATTGCTCAAAAGAAATGTCTCCGAATAATTTATAATATTAAACCTAGAGATAGTTGCAAACCATATTTTATACGAGAGAAAATACTAACTTTGCCGTCCATCTACATACTAGAGCTAGCCAGTTTTGTTAAGAAAAATATCAAAATATTTAATTTCAATAAAAACGAACGCCGAAATACCAAATTGATCCTACCAGCACCTCGACTACAGATGTATAAAAATAGCCCAGAATACCGAAGTATCCAAATTTATAATAAGTTACATACCTGAGGAAATGCGGTCAACCAAAACTATTTGTATCTTCCAAGCTAGATTAAAGTCTCTATTAATTAAAAAATCATACTATAGTATTCAGGAGTATCTCGAAGATAAAAAATGCATTTACAATAAAATAGTACCTACATTGTAATTTTATAATTTACCAGATGATGTTTATTCACAATGATTTTAATATGTTTTCATTCTAAATTATAGAGCCTATGTATTTTATAACCTATGTATTTTATAGAGCTTTTATAAAACTCAGGTGAATGTGGTAACAGAGATGTGTATTCGTTAGATTATATATCCCCAGTTAAGTTAATTTTATTTTTAATATGTAATTATAGTTCCTAACTTAATGTGATAATTTCAATTCTCCTCAATTTCAATAATGTTGCTACTTTAAATTATTTGTAATGTTTATAATTAAAATGTCTAATAAATAATGTATAAAATAATATAATTGTATCATATAGGTATATAAGTGATAAGAAATTTTAATAGTAATAAGTTTATAGTGAGTAATTAAGTTAATAATGAATAGAATAAGTACATAATATATTAGATGATTATTTAGTTATTATTTATAAATAAAATTGCTGCGCCCTAACAGGGTGATGTACTGTACTAGTAGTATAATACCACTATGTATATACATTTTGCAATAAATAAATAAAAAATAAATAAATAAAATGTAAATCGAAGATGGCGGCTGCACGAAATTTTAATTTATCGTCATGGGTGTCGTTTTCACGTAACTACATTGTGTTTGGGTTTGTATACTTAATTTGTATTGATTAGAACTTTGCACCTAAGTGGCAAAACTAAAAATGATAAAATAAAAAAAACTGTGTTTAAAAAACAGACTTCTCAAAAAACCTAAAAACTAAACACTAAAAAGCAAAAAATATCCATATTAGTACTGATGAGTTACTCACCTACTGACCGACTTTTAGTCGGTGCCATAAGCTCATATTTTTGACAACCCTGGCCGATGCGTTACTGTCTAGACCAGTGGTTGACAAACTTATTTTGTCTACTGCCCACTTTGAGAATAAATATTTTTTTAGCGCCCTCATTTTTTCACCTATTTTAAATCCACTATAACTTCAAATTGAATTAATTAATTATTGTAACCTATAAATGTATATTATGTATGTGGGATAAACATTGTACCTATTTAAAAGAACGCAGATTATCTAAGTGTTAAAACGGAACGCAACGGATGAAAGAAAGAGAGAAGTATGTGTGCGAGTGGGAGAGTAGAAAAATGGCGATAGCGAGTTTTACGACGGTGTAACGCTAATTTTTTATAACGTGTTTGCAAATAAAAGTTTCAATTCTTAGTGCTCGTTTATTTTGCCACACAATCCCACATGTATATTAACGGAGAATTCTAAACGAAATTTTTACTATAACCCGCAACTTGAGACCTGAGCGCAGTAGGTAACATACAACGGCGCTTAAGGTCTCAAGTTAACTCTTACGGGCTCCACCTGCCAATAAGAATGATTATTGAAACGCAACTTTATAGTATTAAAACAGAGTATCTTTTATTAAAAATATAACTAAAATAATCAATTCTTATAATTATGTATAAAAACTAATGTGAAGGATGAATCTGATGCTGTTTGCTGGTTATAATTTACTCAAGAACAGTCGCAAGTCGCCACGTTCAGTAACAAGCAAACGATTTCGCTTTTTAGTAAGCAATGTTGTCACAGCACTAAATCCACGTTCACACAAATATGACGATGGGAATGCTATCAAGAATCGTTGAACGATTGACCACAATCCAGGGTACAATTACGGGATCGGTTTTTGTAGGCAAAATTCTTGGTAACCATTTTTGAACTTATTTTTTATTTCCTCGTTTGTAGTCAACTCTATAAGTTCTTCTATCAGCTGAGGTGACATTGCTGTTTTGACATTTGAAAACATATCCAACACCCAGTCTGGTATTTCCAAGTTCAAAATGTCCTGGTATCGTTCGGTGAAGTCAATGTGGACGTTTTCCAAATGTTGGCAGTAGGCAAACAATTCGTCGTTACTGCATGATACTGATAAATTTGGAAAATTGTGAAACTCACGTCTGCCCAAATTCTTTTTGTGTAGAAGCAGTTTGGCTGCGAAAGCAGCAACGAGGTTTTTTGTTTTAATTAAATTTAGTTTATCGCCTTGCAGTTGAAGATTCATGTCGTTGAACAATTTATACAGGTCTGTCACGTAAGTTATATCATTTTTTGATGTTATGAGCTTGTCGTGCAATTCTGTATCTTTAGTTTCCAAGATCTCTATAACAGAGTCAAACAGGTTGTAAAATCGAGTCAGACAATTGCCTCTTGATAGCCAACGAACTTCAGTATGAAACAATAAACGGTTGAAATCCTCGTCATTAGTAATACAAAGCTGATGAAATAATCTAATGCATAGCATAAACTCGTTTTTAACAAAAACTTGTTAAAACATGATGGATATCTACGATTATCTACTAATAACTATTAAAATGCGAGAGTGTGTCTGTTGCCTTTTATTTTTGTCTACTTTCATTACGAAACGGAGCGACCGATTGACATGATTTTCATATTTTCTATATTCAATAAAATATAACAGATATATGAACTACGCGGAGAGAAATATAGAATCGAGTTTGAGCAATCTTTTAATTCATATTAGTTGATGTTCACAAGTTGTTGTTGAGAGTCGAGAGCTCTTGCAGTCGTTGTTTGAGAGGCCTCCTAACTAAATAAAATTACAAATCACCCCCCCCCGCCTCTACACAACGCCCCGATTTTCTTTCTGGGTCTCTTACCCCTTAGGGGGGCCCCTTGAGACCTGCAGCGCCCACAAGGGGGCGTTATCACCCACTTTGAGAAAGACTGCTCTAGACGATGTCGGCATTTTACACGAGATCAAAGGTCATGAATACGAACAGAACGAATAGGGACCGGGTTTCTGCTTACATACCCAGTATGCGTACTGGTAAGCTCAAACTAGGTATTTATACCTGTACCAGTAAATACAGTTTGAATAGTGCCAATCGTTACAGTGAGTGCAACGAATTCGTTAAGTCGTGACCACGAACAGACGATTTGCTATCATACGAGACTGTTCGACGCACCGATCTTTAAAATTTTGTTGGTTTTTTTATATTGCTTTGATATTTTCCTTAAAAATGCCTCATAGAAAAAAAACAAAAACCTTTTTTTATAATACTCCGGGTAATTCAACCGCTAATCTATTATATAGGGAAACATTAACGTAATCAACTATTACCAAATAAAAATATACCATAGTCTGGATCTTTATTGGCAAAAAGAATACTATACCATCTTCTTGAGTGGAGTTCATATTATGTATATAGCCCACTGTTATTTAAACGATGTTGTTTTGTTTTCGACAACCACGCGAACGAAGTCGCGGGCACAGCTAGTTCTCAATAAACTTTTAACCTTACTTTAAGTGACGTTCTTCGCCATAGAAATCTACAGCTTGGAATGAGCAAATAGCTTCACTTGTAATTTTTTTTTGGTGACGTTCAAAATATAGCCTTTGTGGTTTAATTGAAATAAATGATTTTGACTCTGACTTTGACTTTAGTGTGTATGTTTGTATCTCGATCACGTCAAAACGGCTCTCAAAAGATCGGGATGAAATTGGGAACAGAGGTAGATCATGGTCTAGAATAATACATAATTATACCACGGGAATGCGGGCGAAGCCGCGGGCAGGAGCTGGTTTAATGTACGTATGTCATATTTCATTGTTCCATCAAGTGAAGTCTATTGTACGGGCCTTGTGGAATCTTCTACACATTAAATGCCATAGAGGTCACCGGAGACCGACGGTACCGGAGGATTTGCCTTTAACAGTTTTTTATTGGCAGTCAAAGCCTTATGGAATCTTTTAAGTGTGGGAGAGCTATGCTTCGGCACAAATGGGGCTGCTCGACTGGAGCACTACCACGGCCTCACAGAAGACTGACGTAAAACAACGCTTGCGTTATGTATGCGACGCCGATTGCTTACCGTCAGGTGACCCGTCTGTTCGTTTACCGACCAATCCCATAAAAAAATCTAGAACCAATTTCCGTGCGCTTTTACCATATCTGTTATTGGAAACGAGTATAACAGCTCACACATAGGACCCACCTAGTTTTAAGTCTCCGCGGTACTTGGCAACTCGGCTTCTCCCAGTCGTACAGACTCTTTTATGCCTGTCGGTTTGAGTCGTACTGTCTCCTGCAAGGTCATCTGCAGCCCCGTTTGTGTCATAAATTTATTTTAATTACAGATTTACCTACAGAGAACATTCCGGTGCGGAGGCTCACTCCTGACCAACACACACGTAATGTCTGCAGCACATTGCTTCGTGTATTCGTACGTAGTAATTTTAAAAAATATAAATACAGTATATGTGAACTAAATCCTAGTATCTAGTATTACCGTAACATAGACAACACTTGTTGATCTCACAAAAAATCTCCATGTAGGAGTCGAACCTAAAACGTGTTCAGTACAAAAGCAAACATTGAATTGAATTGTCCGATGGTGTAAGAGATGTAAAAAAATATCAGTATCACCAGCACCACCACCTTTTAGCTACGACGTCATCCGCGTGGCATGACTTCTGGCAGACTTTGGGATTTTGCCTTTTCCAAGATCTATTTAATGATTGTATTTAATGTAATTTAATAAATTCTAGAGTGTCCTCGTTTTCTGGCTGCCAGAACCAACTTAGAGAATGCAATAGATACAGATCTGGATTCCTCAAATCATCATCCATTCTGGCTGATAAACCAAAAGACCGCAATTTCTAAGCTACATCAAAACCATCTTTAACAGAGCGGCTGAAAAAAAACACCACATTAAATAATACAAGTCGAATAGCCAGCTTGTAGAATCAACCAAATACTTCCTTGGCAGTATCCGAGATGGCCCTTACCACTGAGCCGCTCACCATCAATGAGAGGCAAATGCTCTTACATGGAGAATGCGGCTAAAAAGGAATACGGCTACGAAGTGTGTCTCTGTTCATGAACACCAGCAGCAAAAGGCTGGGGATTGCCTTCTGCGAAAACAAGAACAGCAAATGGCTCACCACCCACGCCCTAATGAATGGCAGCACAGCCAAGACAAGTATGCGGCGCAAAACATATGATGCGCTGCCAGAAATGCAACTGTTGGGTCGGAGCTGTCGACTATTGCGAACACGTAATAAAACAATTGCAATGTTTTCCAGCGTCAACTGTTTTGAACAAGCTTGCGGGGTGCCGTCAGACATGGGTGAGCGGGGAGAGGTGGAGGGTATGAGTTCCAGAATAATTAGCGTGGACGCTACCGTGGTGGCTTCTGAGAAAGGGAAAACGGCAGACCTTATAGGATGTGGAAGGGCTTCAGAACATCATGAAGTCATCGTGTACGAGAATAGGGGTGCGGACTTCAGTTTCCTCAAAAAACCAGTTCGATAGGCGCTAGAAAGATAATGGCAACAAAGCGCTCTGCAACAACACCAACGAAACACCGAGAGGGAAATTAAAAAATTAGAATCACGAATATGTAATATAGAGGTATTTTCTCTATTCTGAATGATCCTTGTACTCCTGAATACCTAAAGTCTTGCTTCCAGGTACTGGGCAGTTCTCACAGCCGTAATCTCCGTTCTGCTGAAAATCTGCTTCTTGAGATTCCGTCACACCGAACATCCTTCATTTCTAACTCTTTCACAGTTAGCGTAATTAAGTTATGGAACGCATTACCGCTTAAAATAAAAAAGGCTCCAAATAAGATCACTTTCAAACGCGATGTTCACGAATTCTTTTTAAAGTCACTACAACGCTGAGTCTAGGTCTATTACTAATATATATGTATTATTATAAAATTTATTTATTTAGTATATTTATGTATTATGAGCATGCATATATATACCTATATATTTATGTTGTATTTATATTGTAGTGTAAATAAATATTTTTAGTACCTTTCTATATTTATAAAGTCTATTTATGTTATTTGTTTCTAATAATTACACATGCCTATTTTTTTCGCCGATTTCCATTTTAACCCTAAGGTTGACTGGGAGTGAATGCCATATGGCATTAATGTCCGCCTTATGTACCATTACTTGTTTGTGTGTACATTAAAGTTTAAATAAATAAATAAATATGGGCAATAACAGCGGCCGTATGCTCAGTAACCGGACTGTACTGACCGACTTCATGAAAAATGTGGCAAAGTTTGCTCAATGATGATGAGGCTATGGGGCTCAAATACAGTCTGCTCCCTCTAGGTCATCACCAACAAGAGCAGCTACGGGTCATGTTTGTCCGCTGAGGCTTCGACAAGCGTTTTTTTTATGGCATAGGCCGGTAAACGAGCAGACGGATTACCTGATGGTAAGCAATCGGCGTTACCCATGGACACCTGGAACCCCAGAGGCGTTACTAGTGCATTACCGGCCCTTTGGGGATTAGGAGATTGACGATGGTTGGGGATTTGGGGATTGGGGAGATTGGGGAAGGGGGACGGGTAATCGGGCCTCCCGTTACCTCACTCACACGACGAACACAACGCAAGTGTTGTTTCACGTCGGTCTTCTGTGGGGCCGTGGTATCACTCCGGTCGACCCGGCTCATTCGTGCCGATGCATGGCTCTCCCATACTTTAGTCCACTTGCGTCCACTACAAGAGACCATGTCGTAAATGCTTTTCTCAAGTTTACCACAGTGGTGGAAGCAACTAGGCAACATGCGGAAATGCGAATCCATCCTGCAGACTTACCTGCAGGGAAACGAGCTAATACTGAACGATAGACTCGAAGCAGTAGAAGCAGTCATATACGACAACAACACCTCGAGGGTACTGAGAGGAACCTCTATAACTCGAAGTATGGCTGCTTAAAACGCAACTGCAGGATTTGTGTCTCTGGACGAGAGGGAATCCGATCGATGCGGAGTTAACGGACCTAATAGTGGTTGCCAAGTGCACCAGAATTATGCTGGACGATGGAATATTAGAGATGGCAAGATCCATTTCTGAATCTGGACCGGACGGCGAAGTCTTTGGGGACTGGCATACTCCGAGGTTTCGCTAGACAAATGACGTCCCTGGATGCGGAAAAACGACATGGATAGTAGATCAATTTGAACCGTACAAAGATCTAATTGTCACCACAACAACTGAAGCAGCAGACCTCAGAGGCAAACTATCCTGCCGAGTCGGAGGACTAGTCAAATCTAGGGTTCAACAATGGCGTTCATCCTAATAAACGGCTTGGGGGAGCGAGAGAGTTGCCATCGACTAATGGTAGATGAGGCTCTCATGAACCACTTTGGAGCTGTTGTGATGGCCGCCCAAATAACTCAAGCCAAGGAAGTCCTTCTAATTTTATAGATCGTGATAACCTCTTTCCTCTGCTCTACAGCCGCTCTACATATATCAAACCCATAAGCCAGGAATTGATGTGTACCCACAGAAATCCAATGGATGTGGCGTATGCCCTCAGCACAGTTTACAGTAGCATATACTCGTCCAGGTCGCTCGTGTGATCCCTCGAGATAAAAAGGTTCTCGGGAGCGATGATTCCAAAATCACTCACCGACACTTTAAACCTGGTACACACTCAGGCAGAGAAGGAACCCCTTAAGATCCAGGGTCACGCGTGCTTATACATGTGGCACAGGGACTTTCGTGTGCGAATGTGGTTGTTGTGAGCACAGCAACGAAGAAATATCAAATACATGATAGCATATCACACGCGGTAGTAGCAATATCGCGTCACATGCATGGTTGCATCTATTACACAGACAACAGTGAAGATGCGATTAGCAAACTAATCAGGAAAGCGGCTTGTGAGAGTGAGCAAGGGATTAAGGACTACAACCTGAAAATGGCCAACAAACCAAGGGTACGCGGTGGTTGTGGGTGCTCTTTTGGTCGGGGAATGTTGCTTGTGATGAAACAAATGCAATATGAGGAAATGTGTATGCAGAAACATGTAAATATAGAAAATAACCTATTGACTTTTGGACTATTGTAAGCTTTATTAGAATCGGCCAACCTAGCAAGTGTTGAGGCGTTATGCCTACATAAATATCCTACAGTCGGTGGCGCTGTGTGTTGGGTTGTTCCGTTCCCAATAAAAAGGTTGACCGGACCAATTGCTGACACACACGTCATACTCGTGAACCTGACGTGGTCGGCTCTCCCATCTTGTTGGTGGGCTGATTTCCTAGAGCCATCGAAATAAATATAAATAGATAATACCTAATTATTATGTACATTATACTTTTAGTAATAATTATAGATGTGGTTAATTGTAGTGTGTAACTATGTATGTAACTTCTTTACTTTGTAAAAATAGATTAGACGTATTGTAATAAAAAAATTGTATGACAAGGGCACGGACCAAGAGTCCGTGGAGAATTAATAATTATGTAACATTATAAAAAAAAATGTAATCAATAAATTGAATCAAATTCAAATTCTTTATTGCATATTCATGTATAGCATATGATTGACATAGTGATCTATCAACGCCCAGCTCAAACCACAGGATAGACCGGGCCGATATATATTTTTTTTAAAGTTGCACCACTGTAAGATCCTCTGTGTCGTGGGTGCGTTTACAAACATACAAGTTTACATCAACAACATCTAATATCGAACGCATTCGCACTTAGGTTAGTTAGATTTTAAGAGTTAACATGTAATTTTAATTATAATAAATTAAGTTTAATGATTTTAATTTTCATTTGCACCCTCTGTCCGTGGCAGAAACAACTGGCGCGTTCGGTAGGATATAGGATATTCGCGGGCCGGTTCGCGAGCGCGTTTAAATTATCTAATATCGATATTTGTGATCGCGAGCTACCCAGGTCGCTATCAAGCACCGTACGAATATCAAGAATCGACGTGAAGCCACAACAGAGGATATTCAGACATTGATATGGCAAATGGATTCAAGAAATCAAAAAGTAGAAGATGTTAAGGAAAAGAAAGGAAAATACACTAATATAATTTAAATGGAGTAACTACCCCGCTGCACTCCAGCACGGATCCTTGAAGAGGGATCAAATATCTACACCACAGGCAAAAATGTTCGTCATCGAAGTTGCACATAAGCAATTGGTCAGCTAAAATGTATCACTACTATCGGAGAGGTGTATTTCAATTGATAAAATTTAGTCTGACAGGAACACCCGTTCTCCATCCTATCTGCGAAATCGAGAGAGAAATCGAAGAACTCAAAAGGACAAACCACGGAATAGCGATCAGCACTATTCTCAACGTTAGTCTTCGAATAGTTGCTGTTCTGAGGGTGGAGATGTTACGTATGGTGCCGACACATGTATCTACACCAATTTCGTATCGTATCAACGCCGTGTCACGAGGACCATATCTGCTGAATCAGGACATTACACCTACTTTGATGCAACGAAGATTCTACGGAGTATTGCAATATCCAAACTGCTGAGTCGTCTCCTCATGTCGCCGCCTCGTGCCCAGATACGAATCGCTGCATCATCAATCAACGCACTGAATTTAACCTCAATAGGTTTTATTGAAAACTTCCTTCGAAATAATTTTAAGTGAAGAAATCAGTGTCGTTCTAACATCGAAAGCATTCGCACTTAGGTTAGTTAGATTTTAGGAGTTAACATGTAATTTTAATTATAATAAACTTAGTAATGTTTCCATTTGCACCCTCCGTCGGTGGCAGAAACATAACTCACATGACACCCAGACCCGGAACAGCAATTTGTGGATCACAAAAAGAGTTGTTCCGTGCGAGAACCGAACCCGCGCCACGTTGCGTGGCAGCCGGTTGCCCAGACACCGTACTAACCGTATTGTCAAAAAAATTGGCATGCAGATAGATGTTAGGCATCCTGGGCATCCTTTGAGAAAGGATTTTGATCAATTCTACGAAGGATATGAAGTAGGGGATGAAAGTTTGTATAAATCTTCTCAGATTTTCGACTGATTGAACTGAACTTAAAGAGTGGAGTTGCTATGATGAAGACGTTCACTTAAATAATATTTTGATTATTTGATTAAATTCGATAGGACCCATGAAAGGACGTCTGAGAGTTTTCAACCCAAAAATCCCACGAGAACAGGAATAATGCGGTAGCCCCGGGACTCTATATCTTTTAAAACCACTTATTTCATTGAAATTCAGTACAACCATGATTACGATTTACAACACAGGAAAGGATATATAATATAGTTTTTATTACTTAAACTCCACGAAATCGGGAACTGTACTGGACGCTCTGTGCGGCCTGAGCACCGCCGTGCCCTCAGGGAAGTGATCGACAACGGTGACCTGTCGCGACCGGCTCTAGTCCGGGCCATGATGCGGAGCGAAGAGGCCTGGGATACCGTCTCCTACTTTTGCGAAGTAGTCATGCTAGCTAAGAAGGAGGCAGGGCGCGTGAGGTAGCGAAGCGCTGCCTCCGCACAACCCAGCCGTCGCGAAGGATACTCCGGGCGTCGGGGATGGCTCCGGCCGCGATCTCTGGCCACTGTAAGCACGGGCCCTCGGACGGCGAGCATAGGTAGCTCGCCGCCTGATCAGAACAAAACCCAAGCGTACGGCGCGTCGCGTTCCGCGCGCGCCTCAAAGAGCCATCAGACTACCACGGATGGGGCCCAATAGGGCTGATGCCGATACGGAGCCGCGGAGAACTTATCGGGTTACCGGGACTCCGTCTCGAAGTACAGCTGTAGGAACGGGGTGGTTTTTAGTCAGTTAGAGTCTGACACTCCCTCCCGCCTCACCTCGCGGAAGAAGTCATTCGATGATTTTCCCATATAAAAAAAAAATATCCGTCCATTACAGGGCAGTCATGATCTTTTTAATATTGCGATCTGTATACCTAATATAATTTGATTATGTTTCATTTAAAGGTCCGGATTCTACATAAACCCCGCCGCCTTCACGATTAACATCGGCTCAACACACATTTACTCAGGTCTGATTTTTGGATTACCCTGCCATGCTTAAATCGAATAAAATACTTATACATTTTACTCAAACATGTAAGTACTGCATACATAGAAACAGGCAGTGTAATAAGTGGCTGTTGCTGGAATACTGAAACTTTACTCAATCATAAGTTGCGATTAAGTATAGTTCTGTCTCTACAAATTCTTTGTATAATGACAGAGATGGCACGATATTTAAGAGTGACTTAAAATTGAGTAACGTTTCAGTATTCCGGCAATATGTTTTATGCTATGTAGTGATTAAGGTTTCGACCACGCGGGTTAAACCACGGGCGAAAAGCTAGTAAGTATGTCTTCTTATTTTTAACTTCACAGTTATTCGACTACAGTGTTGGAGATAACCTGTTCTATAACCCCAAACGATATCTTACTGACTTCAATGTACGACATACGAATAGAAATAGTACTTCACATAGCATAAGTAAGTAAATTATGTAAAAGCCAGGCGTCAAATGAAATAAATACATATAAAGTAGATAATGGAATATTTTTATAATCATAATCTTACTTATAAATACATAATTAAGTCTGTGTGTATATTCGTTACTCAATCACATTATAACAGCTGAAGGGATCGATATGAAATCTGGAACAGGTAGACTATTCTGTAAGATTACAATTCGAATTCTCGAAGTGAGCTCAATCGCGGTCCGCCATGTCATTGGTTGTGAGAATAATCTCTAACAATAACGGGCGGGTATACGATCGAGCTCACTTCGAGAGTTCAAATTGCCATCTTACAGAATAGCCTAGCAGGAGTAGATTAAAAAAAAACTTTTTAAGCCATAGAAACACGGCCACAGTCGCTGGCAGAACCTTGACTAGGCTTTTACATATAAAAGGAAAATCAATTAAATTGATTTTATGACCCTTAGCAGGTGGAATAACATTAAAAAATTATGCTTTGGAGTTTTAGAAAATTAGTAATTTCTTGGAGGTTAGGGCTCACACTTTATACCTCTAATGGCGACTAATTTATTAACAGAGGGCACCACTCATCTAGTATCAGCAATTAGAGTCCACGAGAACTACGTAAGCCCAGCCAGCGACAATGATATAGCTGTATTACTGCTCAGAACAGCTGTGACCTTGAGTTCAACTGTAACTACTGCTCACATACCGGTGCAAGGAGCTTCTGTACCTGAAAACGCCACAGTCATAGCCGTCGGTTGGGGTACTACGAATGTAAGTCGTTCTATCTCCTGTATTACATTCACCGAGAGAAATGGGAACCCACAAATATGGCTATGAATTAGGACGCGCCGGACTTCCGTGTTCCGGGTGTTTCATGATTGGATCTACTGTAGATCCTGGCTTTTTTTAGAGGGGTGAAAATCATCCAATTACTTTTCCCACCTTGGATTAAGCGAGAGCGAGTGTCAGACTCTTACTGACTACAAACCACCCCGTTCCTACTCCTGCTCTTCAACGTTCAGGCTCTAACGGCATCTCCGTATCCGTATCGGGCATCAGCCCTACTGGGCTCCATGTGTTGTGGTCTGATGACTCTTTGAGGCGTGCGCGGAATGCGACGCGCCGTACGCTGTCTGTACATCCTGGCTTACATGAGCGTTTCGGTTCGGTTTCCGTGATTTGCAAGGTTGGTACGGGTTTGCCCCAGCTTAAGAGGTCAACTATGTTCAAGTATGTCTTTACAGGTGAATTCCAAAATCCCATCAGGCGTGCTAAACGAGGTGGCAATTATTAAAATCAACCGGCGAATATGTCGGAAGAATTTTTTAGAACTGCAAGCTGTGACTGGAATAACACGCCAGATCACAAACAACATGATCTGCGCTGGGATTTTAGAAGTTGGAGGTAGGTTTACAGTTTTTCAAGTTTACTAACTTACATTTTATACTAATTTAAGCAGGGCATTCAAGAATCACGTATCTTTTCTTGAAACTTACCGCTTAGATATACCACACATACTCATGCTCGCATTGGCTGTCACGTGGCAGTTTTTAAAACCTTGTCACAGTATATATCAAACTCTGCATTTGCTCACACGTGTCGACACGACGAAGTATTAAATAAATTCAGTATATTATTAGTTAGTATAGTATTAGTTCAAATAAATTCATCATTACCTGTGGCGATTTTAATGTAGATTTGTTAGAAAATTCTAGTCTAAGCACTAAAATTGTAAGTTTATTTGCCTCATTTAACCTTACGAACTTATTTCTGGAGCCCACTAGGATAACTCCCACTAGTGCCACTTGCCTGGATAATATTTATACTGACATTATACCAATTAAGAAACAAATTATATCATTGCTTGATTCAGATCATTGCAGACAGTTAATTTCAATAACAAATCATGTAAATACAATGTCTAAACCATTTATCACTGTTAACGCAAAGACTGACGCATTGAAACCTTCAAATCTAAAGTCACTCAAAAATTACCTTTGTTGATGAATAAAAATCCTAATAATTTGTATGATGATTTTTTAGTATGTACCATACCGAGTTTAAATCTACCTTTACACCTAAAACTATACCAGTTAATAGCAATGTGTCTTTCAATGAATGGGCAACCACTGGCATCTATAAAAGTAGGAAACGTCTCTATGAACTATATAGTGAGAGGACATTTATTAACACAATCGAATTTAATGTATATGTTAGGACATATTCTAAATTGTTTAAAAAGGTCTGCGCTATTGCAAAGTCGCGGTACTTTAGTTCCAAAATAATGAACAGTACCAATGTCATCAGAGCGACCTGGAGTATTATTAACAGTGGAACGGGAAGGTCTAAAAAGAGAAGTCATGAATATAGTCTCCTAATTGATAATAATGTAATAAAATCAGACGCAGAAGTTGCAGCTGCATTTGAAAGTTTCTTTTCGGACATTCCTATATCTACGACTAAGTCATTGAATTCATCTCCCACTGTTGCAGTATCTTTACTAAAAGAAAATGTTATAGCTTGCAACATAGGGTTCTCTTTTGAACACATAGATTATACAGATATAGTCAAAACCTTCCATACTTTGAATAAGACTACAGATTTGTGGGGTAATTCTGTGTGCATTGCCAGCTCGGTTATAGCTATTATAGCACCTCTATTAGCTCTAATTTTTAATAATTGTATCGACCGCGGTGTGTTTCCTGATCTTATGAAAAATAGTAAAATAACTCCGTTATTTAAATTAGGTAGTACTTCTGACCCCACTAACTTATACTAGTTATCGAAAAGGCTCAGTTCTGCAGCATATGCCGTTAAAAAAATTATAAATCTAACCGATGTAGATACAGCGCGATTAGTATACTTTAGTTATTTTCATAGTGTCATGTCATATGGTATTCTCTTATGGGGGAATGCTGCTGACATTCAATCTATCTTTGTTCTGCAGAAGAGGGCCATTCGATCAATTTATAATCTTAGTTCGAGGTACTCTCTCAGGGGACTATTTAAAGAAGTTAATATAATGACTGTTGCCTCTCAATATATTTATAAAAATATAGTATATGGTCATAAAAACAAAAGTTTATTTAAAAGCATAGTGATATACATAATATCAACACGAGAAATAAAGACAAATATGTTGTTCCCACTACTAGACTAAAGAAAATAAGTGGTTCGTTTAGATGTCAGCATATACTGATACGCTTTTACAATAAAATTCCCAGCCATATCCAAAACTTGAGTCTAAATAAATTTAAAAATGTCATTAAAGATATATTTTATAGTAGCTTTTTATAAAATAAAAGACTACCTATATGATAGTCTGGCTTGGGAATAAGCTGCTGTAACGTCCACACATGTCATGTTGACATGTTTGTAATATATAGTTACATTTCTTGACATTGTTTTTCATATGTTGTTCTAACTTGACATTTGCTTTTTACTTTAAAATTGTTAGTGCTAGGACCGTGCGAGACTGCGTCACCATTTCTTTTCTAATTACCCATATTCTGACAGAAGTTGAACGGTTCTCCCACATAATCTTTTATACATATTGTCTGGACTTAAAAAGAGACAGACCTCTGAGTTTGTTTCGGCATTTCATGAGTTAGGAAATGTCGATCTCATCGTTCGCTTGATAAAATTGAAGCGTAAAAGTGCTGCCTTGTAGCCTATTTGCAGAAATAAATTCACTTGTTTCACTTGATTGGAGCGCAAACTTTCACATGAATCAAATCACGAATGGACATAAACTATTTATACATTTCCCTGCATTCAATTGAAAGCTAGCCTCCGACTCAACGGGACGAGTCAACACAATAAGGAAAACATGGAGTGGAATGAAGAGCCGATTATAAAATTTACTTCGATACATATATGTATAAATAATATCAAAATTATTTACTCCGCGAATGTTCGTGAAATGTTGAGGCGAACAAGAATGTGTAAATGCGGTATTCAGTTGAATGTAAACAATGTAACGAACCTAATTCTGATTTATTTTTAACTACAATCTACTTGTGACTTGGCCAACAATATTATTATAATTATAAACTACGATCTACGATTAACAAAACCGACTGTCTTCCTTTGAAGTCGGTTGATTAATATACTACAACTTACCCAAGTGTAGCGAACTTTTTTCTGAACACCGCATCAAAATCGGTTCGGCAAATCACTAGATAATCACGATCAATCATACACTGTATGTATGTTTTACTGATCAAACTGAGAACCTCTATTTTTTAAAGTCGATTAATAATATGTGTGGACGAGTGCGATTCGTAATAAACAGACAAATAAACCAAAATTAATAAAAGTATTAATAATATTTTTGATGTGTTTGCAGGTAAAGATGCGTGTCTAGGTGACTCTGGCGGTCCTCTCCTCTACGGTGGGGTAGTGGTGGGGGTGACGTCATGGGGGACGGGATGCGCGGAGGCATATTACCCCGGAGTGTTTACCAAAGTCTCCAGCTACACCTCTTGGATCAACGATACGGTAAAATAGTTTTCTGCTGGGGCAACAATAAATGGGCCAAAGACTTCGTCCTATCGCGAATCATTTTCGCGAATATTCAAATGGAAATCGAATGGAATGGAAAGGAGACCCGAATGCCGTTGAAGAGGAAGACTCTCGCTTATCGAGTGATTGCTAACGCGATAGCTGACTGACTGACAATGACTGCCTACTGAACCCACACTGTAATAGAGAAAGTCAATCTGTTTGTTCCTTTGTTTGCGGAGTCTGCTCTCGTCTTTGGCTCGGTGCTGCTAAATACCAGCTAGAATCACACAGTTCGCACAGGCTTATCTTCGGAACTAAAGGATGGACTAGAATGAAACTATATTTACTGAAGACAATTTTCTAGTGCGGGGAGTGTCATGCTTCGGCACGAATGAGCCGGTCGACCAAAGTGACCATGGCCCACAGAAAACCGATGTGAAGCAACGCTTGCTTTGTGTTTCCTCGTGTGAGTGAAGTTACCGGAGGGCCAATTACCCCCCTCCCCTTTTCCAATCTCCCCAATCCCCGAATCCCAACGATCCTCATACTCGTAATCCCCAAAAGGCCAGTAACGCACTTGTAACGCCTCTGATGTTCCAGGTGTCCATAGGCGGTGCCGATTCCTTGCCATCAGGTGATACGTCTACTCGTTTACCGGCTTATGCCATAAAAACATCGAGCAACTTAAAGGCTATAATTCGTTTTGAATAATGGAATAAAAAAATTTCTGTCCAAAAATTAACATTATATGCCGACTGCATACTGAGATACTGTCGTTGGTATTAGATAATCTAATGAGCCACTAAAAACGCGTTTAAAATAGGACTTGAAATTTCATAAGTTAGTCACAAAGTCCGTTATCCAAGAGAGCGAAGGAATACGTCGAGTTGCAAGTCACACTGTATAGTATAAAAGGAAACATCGACGGTTGAAAGGAAAGGTTTTCAAAGAATATGCATTATTGTATATTGGCAGGGCACATAGCGCGGAGAACCGATGGCCGTTGGGGCAGAAAGGTTCTCGAGTGGAGGCCACGTGCAGGCAAGCGCAGCGCAGTACGACGCGATTAAGGTCGAGGGAGTCGCTGGATGCAGGTCGCTTCCAACCAGCCTACCTGAAAGTCATTGGGTAGGCCTATGTTCAGCAGTGGATGTCCTGGGGCTGATATGATGATGATGATGATGATGAATCCATTTATCGAGAAAGGCCAGCGTTATTTGTAACTAAGTAGCAACCTCGCAGGATCGTATTAACTAATACTAACATCATGTAGACAAATCTTCTTGTACTAAGACTTTTTTTAAATTCATCGGCATTGACTGATATTGAATTTGATGAGTGTAGGTCCTGTAGGTATACAATTTGACTGAGACATACCCAGTATTCGCATGCCCAATAGGTAGAACAAAAAGATATATAAAAACCACCTTGGTCACTATGTACTACACCTTTGTCCAGCAAATAAAGTTATTTTGATTTTGATTTCATTTTTGATCATTATATTACTCACTAAAAGTTGATTATTACATTCCTATATTACTGACTAAAAATCTTTATTCAACAATATCGCTGTATCCACTGAGATCTTCCTGCGACCAATAGGATGAGCAAAGCGGCGGGTGAAACCGCTCGGAAGGAGCTAGTGAATTGCAAAAATATAATGTGGACAGCAGTCTTCTCTTGTATGAGCACGCATTGCAGAGAGATAAATTAGATCTTGTTTTTATGGGATAGGCCGGTGCCTATGTACGGATAACTTTATGGTAAGCAAACGGTGCCGTCTATGGACACCTGCATCACCAAAGTAGTTACGAGTGCTTTGCCGACCTTATGGGGGTTGGAAATTTGAGGATTAGGATGGGGAGGAATTGAACCTCCGGTAACATCAGTTACTGTTTTCAGGTACATAATTCTGTGTTTCAGATTAACCGATATAATGGTGCCAACTCACTGATCAGCTGTCGTGTGATTCTGGCGATCCCCTTTTTGTGTTTCATTCTCAGCCAATTGACAAACTTCTTCTGAGAAATAGAATTGCTACGAAATGAAGTTTAAGACTGATCCAGATATTTGTATAATGCATATTGAACTGATTGCTATATTGGAATTTAGAAGCTTTATATTTATATTAGTCAGGAAATAAAACAGGTAACGTATCGCACACTTTACTTTATTATTCCCACACAATAAAGTATTACAGTAACAATTCGACTTCTTACTCCACCGAATGCTATATCCAGAATGAATTCCTACCATGGCTGCTAGTGTATAGGTAACTTCCTAACATATAGTGGGGGTAGCATTAGTCAAATAAACAACCAATAATACTACATAGATCAACCTTTTAAGATTAACTAAATTACAAATAAATTATATTACGATGATTTATAAATACACATTTAATGAATAAGTGCTTAAAAATATTAAAGTACTTTAATAGATGCAACTATTTAATTAAATCTTATATAACGTAACTTAACAATTACTAATAAATTACAAATAAATTCATATTATGCGACAAGTACATACAGATTAAACTGTCAAACACCAAGCGGTCACCGGTGACCGCAAACTATTGTTCTATAATTGTGTCTATAATGACGGTACTCGACGAGTTAATTGATTAGCCTTAAAAGTATTTTAGAATATTAAATTGTTTTAATAAGTACATGACATGGAATTTAATCAATCTTATACTTAAAATACTACTTAACCTAACATTTATGTTTCATCCATCAATGGTAATAAAGGAGAATGGCAGGTTTGTATGGAGGTTTTGTACCGCTATAAAATTTTGTATTTGTCATTGTTTTAGCCAAGTGAATGGTCTGAACGATAGATATTTTTATTATGAAGTTTAGAAAAAAAATACATATTTTTAGAACTTGGGGTTCAAAAGTTATTTCACTTTGAAAATGTGCAGAAGGTACGTAAAGGCGGTATTACACTTGCCATTGCGTATTCGCTTCATTT